TTTTACAACAGTTTAGTGCGGGGCAGAAGATGCGGAACGATTGAGAGCCTTAATTTTGACGTAAATTATGACTTGAGGACTTAAGTAGGTAGAGTTGATCATGTCACTACATGTAAACAGTTTTAACAAAAACAAAACAAAAAACAAAAACGTGGTGTATTTTAATTTTATCATTTACGTAAAGTATTATTCGTCAGACTCTATATATATACACTTTAAGAAGCCAAAATAATTTGTTACAACAGTACTTGAACGTTTAGTACCGATCAGAAACAGGTTTTGTGAATACTACCTGCAGACACATTAACACACTACCATTATATAATGTCTCTTTCTAAAATTTTATATTTATTTCATATAATTTATTCAGAAAAGCGAATTGATTGAAAGAGGAGTAAGCGTGACCAAGTGAAATCGCATTATTAGGTTGCTAATAATACACTATATTAGGGATTGTCCATGTATTGGGTGGATTTAAAAATTAACATAAAAAAATATGCAATAGTTTTTATCTTATTGATTATTTATAAATTTAATATTAAATTTATTTGGTGTTTATCGTAAATAATTATTTAGTTTCAAAGACTAAACATTTGTAACAAATTATTGACACAGTGTTATATATAAAAATATCGTTCATTAATAAAAATTTGTGTATTAACTGACATAAATTTGTAGAAGGCATATATTATGTGAGATAATATAAATGTAAAGTAAAATTAAAAAATATGTTCGGTCTTTTTTTCTTGCATCAAAACGTTCGTAAAAAAATTTATTGATTTGCATTATCTCAACAGAAATGTTGGAATGCGTCTCTATGTTTATTTCGTTTGAACTTTGAATCATAAAAAAAAATAATTGCTGTTTGATTGTATTATTGTTTTCTTTTTGATTGTTTTGCTGTGATTTTTATCTTTTCCATCGATTCATTGATGAACTGAATTTTGTTTTTGTCATTATGATTACAGTATGGAAGGAAAATGAAAATAAAAAACAAATTTTCTCAATTCACAAAAGTTTTAATTGCACTAATTTGATATTAAGTTTAGAGAAAAAACTTTAAAATCTTAGATTTTTTAATATAGTATATTGTTGGATTCAATAAATAAAATATATATTTTCCAAACCATTAAAATTTTATAATAACACATTTAATTTGGAATCATATTTTTTTGTCAGAACAAAAAAAAAGAGACAATGTCTAATATATATTATAGAAAAATTTAAAAAAATGCCACTTTACAAAAATGTCACACTTTTGAAATCTTTACAAAAATGTCACTTTTTCAAAATTATTTTTTCTTTATATTATTTATGTTTGGGTTAATTATGTTCTATTAAGGTTTAGTTATGAAGGTTTAGGAGGGTTTAGGGGTCAAAACATT